CATTCCGCGTTTCCACGTTTACACGGTGCCCTGCCAGAACCCAGGATGCTCACATTCCGCGGTGGGTGTACCCCTTTACACGGGTGAAGTATAATTTTTTTATTTAGCTCATAAAATTCATACAAATTATCCGGCCAGAATATAATTTACATTGCTGGAATTCTTACAATTTGATGATCATTTTGAATATAAACATCATAGATTTTGCATTAGACATACAAATTTTAGATATAATGTTTACTCTGAGTAAATATGTTATCTTTTGTGCAAAATATATGACATTTATATTCAAAATATTCCTGGTCTTACAAGGAATCCAGCAATGTCAATTATATTATCCTAACTTTAGTCTGATTTATTATTTATTACTAAAAAGGTAAACAGTCTGGTATTCCCACACATTCATCTCCTAGGGAGGGTTGGTGGGGGGTGGGAGGGAGGGAGGGACCGGCGACCGACCACCTGGCACCAGGGTGTGAAGAATATTTTTTTTTTTTTATTAACTGAAGATATTTGTTTTAGCTCATAAAATTCATACAAATTACCCGGCCAGAATATAATTTACATTGCTGGAATTCTTACAATTTGATGATCATTTTGAATATAAACATCATATATTTTGCATTAGACATACAAATTTTAGATATAATGTTTACTCTGAGTAAATATGTTATCTTTTGTGCAAAATATATGACATTTATATTCAAAATATTCCTGGTTTTACAAGGAATCCAGCAATGTCAATTATATTATCCTAACTTTAATCTGAGGTATTATTTAATACTAAATGTTAAAATCTAGTTTTTTCACCCAACCTTTCTCTTGAAGGGAGGATTGGTGGGGGGTGGGGGGGAGGGTTGGGACGGACCGACCATCTGGCCCGGTTGGAAGAGGGGGGGAGGCAAGGTGGGGTACTTTGATTGACAGATAGTGTCGTGAAGAATATTTTTTTTTTTATTAACTGAAGATATTTGTTTTAGCTCATAAAATTCATACAAATTACCCGGCCAGAATATAATTTACATTGCTGGAATTCTTACAATTTGATGATCATTTTGAATATAAACATCATATATTTTGCATTAGACATACATATTTTAGATATAATGTTTACTCTGAGTAAATATGTTATATTTTGTGCAAAATATATGACATTTATATTCAAAATATTCCTGGTTTTACAAGGAATCCAGCAATGTCAATTATATTATCCTAACTTTAATCTGAGGTATTATTTAATACTAAATGTTAAAATCTAGTTTTTTCACCCAACCTTTCTCTTGAAGGGAGGATTGGTGGGGGGTGGGGGGGAGGGTTGGGACGGACCGACCATCTGGCCCGGTTGGAAGAGGGGGGGAGGCAAGGTGGGGTACTTTGATTGACAGATAGTGTCCTGAAGAATATTTTTTTTTTTATTAACTGAAGATATTTGTTTTAGCTCATAAAATTCATACAAATTACCCGGCCAGAATATAATTTACATTGCTGGAATTCTTACAATTTGATGATCATTTTGAATATAAACATCATATATTTTGCATTAGACATACAAATTTTAGATATAATGTTTACTCTGAGTAAATATGTTATCTTTTGTGCAAAATATATGACATTTATATTCAAAATATTCCTGGTTTTACAAGGAATCCAGCAATGTCAATTATATTATCCTAACTTTAATCTGAGGTATTATTTAATACTAAATGTTAAAATCTAGTTTTTTCACCCAACCTTTCTCTTGAAGGGAGGATTGGTGGGGGGTGGGGGGGAGGGTTGGGACGGACCGACCATCTGGCCCGGTTGGAAGAGGGGGGGGAGGCAAGGTGGGGTACTTTGATTGACAGATAGTGTCCTGAAGAATATTTTTTTTTTTATTAACTGAAGATATTTGTTTTAGCTCATAAAATTCATACAAATTACCCGGCCAGAATATAATTTACATTGCTGGAATTCTTACAATTTGATGCCAGATGGTCGGTCGGTCCCTCCCTCCATCCCCACCCCCCACCAACCCTCCCTACCAGACAAATGTGTGGGAAAACCAGAATATTTACCTTTTTAGTCATAAATAATACCTCAGACTAAAGTTAGGATAATATAATTGACATTCCTGGATTCCTTGTAAGACCAGGAATATTTTGAATATGAATGTCATATATTTTGCACAAAAGATAACTTATTTACTCAGAGTAAACATTAGATCTAAAATTTGTATGTCTAATGCAAAATCTATGATGTTTATATTGAAAATGATCATCAAATTGTAAGAATTCCAGCAATGTAAGTTATATTCTGGCCGGGTAATGTGTATGAATTTTATGAGCTAAAAAAAAAAAAATTATACTTCACGCGTATATGGGTAGATGAACCGCGGAAAGTGAAAGTTTGGTTCTGGCGAGGCACCGCATATATGAGAAATCGCATAAAGTGAAACCACGTAAAGCGGGGTAATACTGTATATGTATATGTATATGTATATGTATATATATGTATATATATATATATATATATATATATATATATACATATAGATAGATAGATAGATAGATAGATAGATAGATAGATAGATAGATATATATATATATATATATATATATATATATATATATATATATATATATATATATATATATATATATATATATATATATATATACACATATTTCATGTAAATCCACAATGAAAACGTGGATAAGATAAATCTTGATAAAATCACACGGGAAAATGGGAACAACGGAGCACCTTAGCTTTCGTCTTTATTCAAGACATCTTCAGAGGCAGTTGCCTCTGAAGATGTCAATGAAAGCAAGAACATATATATATATATATATATATATATATATATATATATATATATATATATATATATATATATATATATATATACAGTTGTACCCCGATTTACGCGGTCAATTGAACCCACAGGGTACCCCATTAAGTGAACTAAGTGAAATCCGCGTAAATGGAACAACAGAACATATGGGATTAATTCCAATAGAGACTGGCCCGACCCCCAAACTCCACTTTTTGACGAGACACATGTATGTTGTAGTAAAAATTTTATCTTAACTTTATGATGGTATGAACAAACAAGTAATATAGAAGAGGTTAGGTTAGGAAAAATAAAGGTTAAGTTAGGAAAAATAAAGGTTTGGTTAGGAAAACTAAAAGTTAGGTGTAACACTTACGTTAGTAGTAGACACACACTGCGCAACCTTACAGCGTGGCTTGCCCAGGCGGAGGGAGGCGGAAGGGAGGAGGAGGGAGAGGCGAGGCAGGCGGGAGCAGCGGGTGGCGGGTGGGGCGAATCTAAAAATAGTGTCTCGAGCCGGACACACTGCGCGTATATGGGTAGATGAACCGGGTTAAGTGAAAGTTCGGTTCTGGCGAGGCATCGCGTATATGAGAAATCGCGTTATGTGAAACCGCGTAAAGCGGGATACAACTGTGTATGTATGTACGTACTGACAAGTGTCAGTAGGTGAATTTAGTTATTGCTTGTAACTTAAAATAAGAAGGATATTACTATCCTGTCACTCGCATTTTCAACTGTTTTATTGATATTGTTGGGAAAATGTACAGTACTGTACTAAAAAAATCCACTGTACCAGATGGGGCCTGCCATCTTTACCTCTGTTTAATTCAAAGTTTTATTGCAAAATAAACTTTTTTTTTTTTTTTTTGGAAAAATTTTAGTCAGGTCTGGTATTGAAACAGCTCACACTCGGTACCGTCACAATGTTCTCGGGCAGATTGCTCCAAGTGTTTACAATTCTCACTCCGAAAAAGTTTGCCTTCAGTTTTCTGGACGTATGGCTTCAACCTTGACCTATGACCCCTTGTGGGGCAGGCGGATCTATTCAAACACTGAAAATCTACAAGATTATAGAATATCAACTTTTTGCTCTAAATATCACATTACAAGTGTCAGTAGGTGAATTTAGTTATTGCTTGTAACTTAAAATAAGAAGGATATTACTATCCTGTCACTCGCATTTTCAACTGTTTTATTGATATTGTTGGGAAAATGTACAGTACTGTACTAAAAAAATCCACTGTACCAGATGGGGCCTGCCATCTTTACCTCTGTTTAATTCAAAGTTTTATTGCAAAATCATAAACAATTAGCCTGGCAGTATGTGGTGTAATAGCACCTTTACATTGTATAAAAATTCTCCTCAATGTATAATCTCAAATTACTCACTGGAAGGTATTCAACCGGAGAACGGTAATAAAGACACAACAAAAAAAGTCAGAGAAAAAAGTCACAATTTTGGCTAGGAAAAAAAGTCACAGGAAAAAGAGTCACATTTTATATAATAAAACTAAAAATATTTTAAAACAGTTATTAACTGACAATACATGACTTTTACATATTTACAACACAATTTATATATGATGCACATAGGTTAGGTTAGGTTAGGTTAAGTTAGGTTGGGTTGGGTTAAGTTAGGTTAGGTTTTTTCCGTGCCTTTTTTTTTTGTAACTTTTTTACCTGGATTCATTCAACTATGTCTCAGTTGTTGTCATTATACGTGGCTAAGTCTGCAGTTCCTGCAGCAAGCAAGTGAGGTCAACTAACTAAGCATACCGGTAACAAGTTTTAACTGACGTGTTCCCTTTCTCACACTCTCAGAGGGCAGACGGGGTCAACCAAACCTAAACACCTCACCTGATCCTCAACACTCACTCACGTCAGAAACAGGACAGAGACAGCACTATTCAACGAGTGAACACCTCACTTGAGTGTTCTCCATAAGTGTACTCAATACAATTCCCTTGATAGAAAAGGCATAATATACTCTCAACCGAACTAAGTTCCTGTGAAACTATATTTTTCTACAATAAAGAAAAAAATAGCAGTGTTTACATTAGTCCTGCCACTTAAGAGTTCCAGAACTTATTTAAAACAATTAATGTAATACCAAAAGAACTATTACATGCTTCATATATCACATCACAACTAATCTTTATGGATAGGACTGAAATGAAAAAAAAAATTGCATGTGCATTATCACAAATTTTAATATTCTATATTAAGTTGTTCCTGCCTTTAAAGCAGATGGTACATACATTTTAGTCTTAAATCACTCAACATTTCTGCAAATTCTATTGTCAGACCAAATAGAAGCTCTTAAAAGAAAAGTATTTATTTACATCAAAATTCCTGTTATAAATACACATTTTACTTAAAAAAAAAAATCACAATTGTGACAATGTGTGAATTGGAGTATAGAATATTGCTTTAAAAGATCAACAGGTGTTTACATATATTTACATTGTCTAATATATTTTGTAAATCAAATAAAAAATCTTTAATTACATTTTATGCAGTACAATTACACATACATGTATGTTTTGGTCACTAAGAAAAATTAATGTAAAACACACTCGAGTCATAATGTGACTGAACAATAAGCATCTTTTAAGGCAATCAGGTACTGTATTAGAATATTGCACTCAAAAATCTTCAATGAATTTTCCATCCTTATCCCAAAATTAAGTGTTACAGTATTTTTTAAAAGTCTGTAACATTACTTAGTGATCAGAACTCTTTTGATTTATTATTGTACTTGGTCGAGTTTCCAGTAAATAGTAATCAATGAAAGACTAACGATTTACAGTTAGTGACAGGATGAACTTCCCATAAACTGGTCTTATGTTACTTTTTGGCTTGAACATTTTGGAGACCAACACATGCTTATACTAAATAACCTGAAAATATTCAATTTGTCATCACAATATGAAGTTATAGTTTGACTTGTAACACTAAAAAAAAGTAATAATGAATAGTTTTATAATCAGATTTAGGCATGTAACATACTTGGTAACCTTGGCACTGCTCTTGTTCATATTATAGTGCAAGTGTAACATTATATATACTGTATCAGACTACGAAGTAGCTGTAGCATTATACAAGATATTGGAACCTTCAAACTAAGAAACATTTTAAGTGAAAATCCAGAGCCTCATATCCAAGCTCACAAGAATGGATAATGAGGCTCTACAGACACTTCAGTGTTAACATAATGAAAGCCCTAATAAATATTACCTGAAAATGGGAGCCACAGATGCTTCATTTTCTAACCCAGAAGAGGATGTCCCAGAACATAAACATAATCATTGATGATTCATAAACAATTTAAATGATGTCAGCTAGCACCTACGCTTTATATAAACTTCTCATCCCTAAGACTTAAATCCTCCATCCAAAGCAGACATAGAACTGTGCACCATGTAAATGGTCGATTCTGAAAGAATCTGAAGAGAAACTTTATTATAATTCTTAAAAAAAAAAAAAAAATACCTCTATGGTACCATGTATGACAATCAGTTACAGTGAACTACACTGTACAGTATTAAACTACTTAAATTTGATTTTTATAATTGGTAGACATTAAAAGAAACCTACAAACATATGTACTCAATCAACATACAAAACAGTACTGTACATGCAAATACCATTTTAAATGTTCAAATATCTAGAATTATCTTGTCCACACACTAAGTGACATAAGAGTACAAGCTTGAAGTTATAAACTACACTCTGGAATGTTTTGTTTTGTTTTCTTTTCTTTCGTTTCTTCAAATTCCATGCAACATACTGGTTAAATTATATGCAAGTTACATCTTAATGTTCATGCAAATTTTCTCAGCATTCGATCTAAAAATAACAACTAAAAACAAAATGTTGGGTATACAGCACAGGATTGGACTGATTTATGAGGACATTTTGACCTGGGCTTCTTAAGGATACAATACACTCAACATAATAAGCTTGGTTGTTTGACTAGAGTCCCACACCTATCAACATACCACTGTCAACATTACACCAGTACCTCAACATATACGAGCTCAACTCTTGCGAATTTTACTATCCGTGAAATTACCTCAGAGGTTTTTATCTACTTAAATAACATAAAAAGGTGAGGTGCTGATTTTAAAAACTGAAGGCATCTGCCATGATGTGATGTAGCCGTTCTCTCCCGCCAGTCTCGTTTAAGAGTTTTACCACATAGCCAGGGAGTTTCGTCCGAGAGCAATTCTAATGTTAATTATAAAGGTTATGGCTCCAAAAAGGCCATTAACTGGTGGTGGTGCATATGATGCAAAGAGAGTGAAGAAAGTCATGACTCTGACACAGATAATTAAGTGTTAGAATAACTTGATAATGGCATGAATGCGTCAGCGGTTGACTGTACATTACAAGTGAATGAATCAACTGTTTGTTCCATAAAGATGAAGGTATGGAGAAGATGGATTACGCATTAAGTGTATGGATTGAGGACATGAATCAGGTGTCAAAAATTTAACAGATATGATTTACAGCTATGACTCATCAATGGAATTAAGCATAAAAATAAAGAGGATTATAGAGAATGTTTTAAGTACAACTTTATCAAGAAATCTATAAAGTACTAAAAAAAGAAAGCCAAGCAAATGCCAACAACAATGTTTTAAGCGGCAAGATCCACCCCCTCCCCAATCCTCCACTCCTGTCTCTTTCTTCACCAACCAGCCAGGCGTCGTCTGCATTACCCCTGCCACAGTCGGAGCCTGCCTCTCCCCTTCACTCCACCAATGCGAATTATTTGCCTGACAGTCTTTTATCAGGCATTCTGGATGATCCCAGTCCAGGGGTCTTAAAGAAGCAGCAGTAATATCTTCATTATCAGTATCGTTGCATCAGTCAAGATGGAAGGCAACGTACAGTGGTTTTATGAGGAAGAGGAGGAGGAAATTTTACTGCTGACTCTAGGAGTGTCTAAGAAAAGAAAAGAGAAGTGGGTACATGAAACAAATGTGAAAATGCCAAACTTTGGCAAATACCATCATCTTGTGCAGGAGCTTTCAGTTGATGAAGAAAAATTTTGACAATATTTCAGATTGGCCAACACTCAGATCAATGAAGATGTATTAATAATTGAAAAGGATATCAAGAAACAGGAAACAAACTACAGGCAGTCCTTAAGCCCCAAGAGAAAATAATAGCCCAAAGCAGGGCGATAGCTGCCGTCTCATTCAACTGTCGGTCCCAGACTGCCAAAATGCTTTAGTGCGCATGCGTGATGAAGTCATGTCGAGAAAAAATTGTGGAGACGGCAATCTGGGATGGTACATATCCGACGCATCTGGTCTGAACAGCCTCGGTGAAAAACAACGGGAGCACTTCAAAGCCACGTAATTTCCATCCGCAGCATAGCTAGCATCGCATGCAATGTGAAACGACCTTTATGAGGTAAGAAAAGTACTTTATATACATAAGTAACACTGCTAATCATTTTGTTCCCATAATGTTGATAATACACTTATGACTGGGATAAATTATATATGCTTCCCAGTCATAAATTTGTTACAGGAAAACCTAATATTCAGTATGTATGCTTGTTTCAGTCACTGTGTTGCATGTCAGGTGTGCATTCATGCGTGTGTTGATGGCGCAGCGGTGGTATGGTACGGGCCGTGTGACGCAGATAGCAGACGATGCGTCGCTGCTACTACAATCCAGTTGACTTCCCTAAAATCACACCACATTTACTTGCTTCTCATTTAATTAATTTTTTTATTAACACACAATACAACTGGATAAAGTAACTGTGTAGTATTTAGAGGGCTTAAGTTAAGTTTTTTTTTTTTTTTGGTTCCTAATTTATGGTACATTATAATATTGAAGATAGGATATTAGAGAATGTTATTAGTGAAATTCTATATATATATATATATATATATATATATATATATATATATATATATATATATATATATATATATATATATATATATACAGGTTGACAATCCTTTATCCGAAATCCTTGGGGCCAGAGGCATTTCGGTTTTCGGAATTTTTCGGTTTTCAGAATGGTTAGGGTTTTTTTTTTTTAATGTGTATTAGCCCACTCGGGCATAGATCACTGACCCACATTGGGGCCTGGGGATCGAAAATATAATAAAAATTATAATAATAATAATAATTCATAGGTCTAGGTCATGTTTCTCACTTTTGATCTTTTTTTCATTCTTGTATTTCTTTACTGTATTATTATTATTTTATTATTACAGTATTATTATTATTAATTTTATTATTATATTTTATTATTATTATTGTAATCATTATTATTTTATTTTGGTGTATTTTTATTAAAATTTTTATTTACTATGAATAATTATTATTATAATTATTATTATTACTATTTCATTTTCGCCCCCCAGGCCTCGATGTGGGTCAGTGATCTATGCCTGGGTGGGCTAATAATCCCTGAAAAAAAAAAATAAATAAAAAAAACAATGACCCACAAAAAAACTTTCGGTTTTTAGAGCTTTTCGGATTTTGGAATTTCGGATAAAGGGTTGTCAACCTGTGTGTGTGTATATATATATATATATATATATATATATATATATATATATATATATATATATATATATATATATATATATATATATATATATATATATATATATATATATATATATATATATATATATATATATATATATATATATATATATATATACACACACACACACCCAGTAAAACCTCGCTAAGGCGGAGTATATATATATACACACACACACACCCAGTAAAACCTCGCTAAGGCGGAGTAATTGGGGGGATGGGGTGTTCAGGATAAGAGGTTGTCTACATTGGAGCAAATTTTTCCAAAAAGATCGCCGTTTTAAACAAAAAATAGGTACAACACCAATGTATCCAATTTTTATAAAAAAAAAAATTTGGGGGGTCAAAATTAATTAAAAAAGTAATGTACACCTACTCTTAGTTCACTGATAAGGTCTTAGGCTTAAACTTCTCACTACCCTTACGTTTGCCAAACACTTTCTTAGGGGTCATGGTTATTGTTTAATTTTTCAATAATATTGCAAAAAATATGAATGCTACTTCAGCCTATGGCAAATGTACTAAATGTATTAAAAAAGATAAATAATGATATAAAAAACACCAAAAATACAGTAAATACCACATTAAATGGCATATAAGATGCACCTCCCCATTTTAGCAAGGTGTATTCAGGAAAAAAAACTTTAGTGTGTATTTTCCTCCTGTAGTCACAGTTTTCTTCAAATAATATATACATTACCAGTTAATGTGAGGAATAAATAAAAAATAACACCAACAAAAAACACTATTGCCAAATCAGTTGATAAAAGCCAAATGAAAGTTTAACACAGTTGCCATTTGCATACACACCGTATCCCCATAATAACAAAGAATAGCTGAGATGCCGATTCCCTAGCAACCCCACTCTGAGACCTTCTTCCCCTCCTTCACTGAGCCATCTAACTCGTGTGTAAAGAAATGAATACAGTATTCCCTTTACGCGTTTGCCCTTAGGATAATTATTTGTTTTACTTTTTTTCACAATATATATGTAGGATGGTGTGTACATGTAAATGAGAAAAAATAAATGAAGAAAGTTACATACAGTATCTCTACCAAAAATTATGAGTTGAAAAACCATACCACCTCGCGGCTTAGCCCAGTAGCCTGGTGGTTACAAAGTTTAACCTGGCCATAATGCCACGATTAATCACTATTACGCACAGTGACTCCAATGAAATATGGCAGGGAGGGTGGAGAATTACAAGAGCAGACTAGTGGTCATTCACTCGCTCCCAGGCTCCTGTTGCCAGGAGTACATCGAAATAAGTATGTGAGAAATACATATTTTGTAGTCTAATTGAAAAACAGCGACGGACCAGTGATAAACAAATTATTATTCCCACAAACAACAACTGATAACTCTCGGGTACCTGTATCCCATGTGCCGACGCCTTGCTCCCTTGAAATATTGGCTCAAGGCGGACATGTCATCTGAGGACATATTTCATCCTACGGGTACTGTACTTTTTTTTTTCAATTTAAAAATTTTATTTATTTTTTGGCAAATAATTTTGTCTGGCATAAGCGATTTACTGAACTGTATAGTAATATCTCCGTTAGCCGGAATCCCTCAAACCCAAAACTCTCCTTTAAGTGGAATTGAAATTTTCTCAGAAAATCGTCCCCAAAGCCGGCACAATTTCTGAAAAATTCCGAGAAAATGTTCACGATTACCAGAAAATTCCGGGGATAAGGGAGTTTTTTCCGGGTTTGACAGATGAAAATCTGGCGCTCAGTCTGTGTCCAGCCACCACCGTGTTTGTGTGTTTTGTTCACTGCTACCTCTTGGTTAACTAAGTATACAATGGAGTACCTTAGCTTTTGTCTTTATTCAAGACATCTTCAGAGGCAACTGAATTTACAGGGATGGAATGTCAGGTCACTCTTTCTTGGGTGGGGGATTAGTGAGTTTCATGACCTAAAGTTGTCTTGAATAAAGACAAAAGCTGAAGTATTCTGGGGGAGACCTGACCTGACCTGATGCAATGTCAGGTGGAGGTATGGTGGGGGATTACTGGTCTCATATTACTGGCCTAATGGAAAGTCAGGTCATCCTTTCTTGGGCAGGGGATTAGTGGGTCTTATGACCTGAAGATGTCTTGAATAAAGACAAAGCTAAAGTAATTTTAGGGAGATTGTGATAAGTATAAGTATAAATGAGCAAAGTTGTATCCCTTCAACATTACATTACATAACATTATAAAATATGGAGTGAGAAAGCAGAAAGGTGTGGGTGATTAGAGAGATGGTGTGGAAAGGAGTGTTGCCAAGCACTCCTCAACAGCTAATATTTAACTCGCTACCATGCAGTCACACGGATGGCTGGAGCCGGTGGGAGGCAAACCTTTTTGGGTGGAGAAGGGGGTTGGGTCATGTGGTTAGTTTTCTCCCCTCCTTCCTCTCACGCGTGGCTAATTGTGATAGGGAGGTGAATTTGATAACATAATGATCCTTCATAAATTCTCTACGAGACATTTCCATTATGATATCCTCAAATGACAAGCCGAATAATAAGGTAAAAATAAGTATTCTACTGTATATAAAGGGTACTGGTATTAATAAGTTCAAATTATTACAGTAACATATCTTTACTAATTAATAAATAACAAATAAACAATATTTTCCCCAGTAGGAACGACAGAGGCAGACGAACCTCTTTGGGGGTGCGAGGTCAGTTTCTATCCCCCAAGGGTCTCTACACCACCAGTCTCTATGTACAGAACCAAAAGAATTTATTTAAAATACCTGTACTCTGTACCATTCAATACCATAATATCCTGACCACTTTTCCCTGTGAAAAAGCCATAATTTTGAGCAACATATCACTGTACTCACTTTGTACTCAATGTACTAAGCTCAAGGACTAAAATTTATATCTCTTGTGCAAACTATTAGATGTTTCTACTAAAATTAATTGCTATCTTGCAAGGATTCCAGCAATGCAAGTTATATTCTGCCAAGTCAAGTCTAACATTTTATAAAAGAAAAACTTTAAGCCTTCATCTATAAAATTCTTATCACCCACCACCATCTTGTCTCCCCTGCTGGCTGGGAGGAGGGAGAGGGAGAGGTGTGGTGTTGACAGCCAGGAGGGGAGATTAATGCAGAGTTGTCAGGGACTCAGGATTATAAAAGTCAGGGAGTTTAAAAAAAAAAAAAATTTTAAATATCACTGACTTGACTTAGCGGAATATAACTTGCATTGCTAGAATTCTTGCAAGATGGCAATTAATTTGAGTATAAACACCCCATAGTTTGCACTAGACATAAAAATGTTAGCAATTAACTTAGTACACTTGAGTACAGGTTGCGATAATTTATGCATTGTGGTTGCAGTTGCGAGGCTTCATGACATCACTACTCACTAGTGTATAATGCGTCTCCATATGCCCTGGTTTGTTTACTGATCAGTTGTCTAAGTGTTAAAGTAGCCAAATCAAGCCATCATGTATCAATTAATTTTAAAATAGAAATTATAAAGTACAGTAAATTGTTTTAATACAATGGTTTAGTAGTGCTGTTAATATGTGTGCTGTTTAAGTGTCTTGGACTGTCACCTCACCACCTGATTTTTCACCTCGTTAGTGCAGCTAAGAGTTACATTGATCTATTACTGTATTATTTTACTGTTTTTAGTATTGTATGTACAGTAGCTAAAACAACTATCTGAGCAGGTAGGGGTCAATATGCTCCAAAATTTTATGTGTGACTAGTGACAGCCCTCATATACCAAAATTTATCATCCATGGTCTCATATTGTTTCCCACAAAGTATGCACAGATAGTTGTTTTAGTTAATGTACATTAAAAGAAATATTTGATTGCTAAGTAAAGTAAATTCAGTGAAAAATTCAGTGTTACCCAAGCAGTTGGTCTTCCCACCCATGCACCTACTATGTGAGGATGCCGCTAAACATGGTGCAGTCTTTCATAACGCAGGGAACATTTGTCCCCAGGCCTGGAGTAGAAAGGTTTGGAGTGATTTTCTTGCCATTTTCTCAGATATTCCAGTAATTGCTTAATATCATTATTCATCGTTTTTTATATATTTAGTTCATTTGCCAAAGGCTGAGGTAGGTTTTACTGTATCATGTGTCTGAGGCATCTCCATAGGTGTGAGTGAATTAATAGAATTAATCTCGATTCAGCGAACTAGTTCACTAAGTCGAGCGAAAAAAAAAAAAAAAAAATGCTTTTCGCTAAATCGAGAGTATATACCGGGTATATTATTAGTGAATATATAGAATATTGGAATATATTTATTTAAAATTCTAGAAACACTAACATGTACAGTACAATACCTTATACTATCGCCTTGGTCAAGTAACCAATACCCAGTCTCATAAAGATAATTTATATATTTTAATGAGGCAGTATAGTCAAATAATAAAAAATTATATATATACAGTCAGTTCTGCTATAACGCAATAGTTGTGTTCTTGTAAAACATCGTGTTATAGAAATTCGCGTAATAGAAATAACAGGTCTTATGGAGAAAATAGGGTTAGGTGCAGATTACTACTCGAAATCGAAAAAAATTTAGTAGTTAGCCTAACACAAAGGATAGCACAGTCTAAATAAATGTTACATTCATATCTAATAATGAAATCATGCAGTAAATGTAACACTTTACCTTGAAAAAATATGAATATAATTTGATGGGGGAGAAGGGTGATTTTGAGGTTGATAACATCGAGCTTCTCTTCAAGGGTTATAGCCTTTCATTTACGATCATCACCGGGAATGCGATCACCAGAACACTTCTTGGAGATATTCTTCTTTACCATATTCACAGTTAATACCACAAAATTGGAGAAATAGTGAGCAAAAATCGCGTTACAGCAAACAAGCGTTCGCGTTATACAAATATCGTTCCTCTATTCATAAATCGAGTTAAAGCCAATTCGCGTTGTCAAAACACGCGTTATAGCAGAACTCATTGTGTGTGTATATATGTGTGAGTGTGTATATATATATATATATATATATATATATATATATATATATAAAATTTAATGTTAGCATGAGCTGATGTTTGTATGCTGGATATTAAAAAACTGGGGATTCACTGTACAGTACTGTACAGTGAATCCCCAGTTTTTACTGTACAGTGAATCCCCAGTTTTTTAATATCCAGCATACAAACATCAGCTCATGCTAACATTAAATTTTATGACCATGTTTTGCTCTTTCAAACGTTCATTCCTCAGACAAACTCTAAATTTTTCAAACGTACTGCCATGGATCAACAGGAAGTCGGACACATAAATGAAAGAAAACAAACAGTGGGTGGCTATAATGTGCATCACAAACTGAGGGTGGGTGTACTGTGCATCACAAACAGTGAGTGGTGGGCATACTGTTCATCACAAACAGTGGGTGGTGGGCGTACTATTCATCACAAACAGTGGGTGGTGGGCATACTGTTCATCACAAACAGTGGGTGGTGGGCGTACTATTCATCACAAACAGTGGGTGGTGGGCGTACTATTCATCACAAACAGTGGGTGGTGGGCGTACTGTTCATCACAAACATTGGGTGGTGGGCGTACTATTCATCACAAACAGTGGGTGGTGGGTGTACTATTCATCACAAACAGTGGGTGGTGGGCGTACTGTTCATCACAAACATTCTCCCATAATGCATCTACGTGTAGTGTTATCTTTTACACTGATCATTCATTTGTTGAAAACTTTTTCATTCATTAACCTTTAACAATAAGCAAGTACTGTATCAGTGACCATGATGAAGAGGGGGCAAGAAAAAAGTTTCCATTTGAGAGGAAGTTGACATAACTAAATGTGTTGAAAAGGGGGAAAGTTTAGCTGAAGTCAGCTGATCTTTGGAAGTTAACTGTGATACAGTAAAGATAAGGTACCCTTCAGGTGTGCCAGACCTACAATAAAATGCTTTATTTAATTAATTCATAATCATTTAACCTATGTATTTTGATTTACTATACTGTACTGTATTATTATTCATTTATTTACCTTTACCTACCATATTTACCTAATGACCACCTCCTAGAGGCAGCATTTATTTCTGTTTTGATAACTCTGTATTTATTATTCTGGGGGTGGATCCAGGAATAAAAAAATGGGGGGGGGGGGTTCAAGAAGTTGTGGGTGGGGGAACGTGGCGAACACAGCAAGCCCATCCAGCTGGGGAGAAAGGGGGCACTGTAAGCCCCTTCAGAATTTTTTTCTCGAAATCTGATCAATATCATGGGCATTTTGAGGCCATTTTGAAGCCATGTGCACTTGATATTAGGAGATATTCTGAAGTCAATAGTAATAAAATTTTACTATACAAAAATGACTGAATACAATACTGCATTAAAGAAAAGGTATTGGAATTTTCTGATGAAAAGGGGGGAGGCTACAACCCACCCCCCCCCCCTCCCCCTGGATCTGCCCCTGTATTGCTTTATTAAAAAAAGTTATTTTCACTTGCATCTAGGAACCAATTAATTATCTATACCATAGTTTCAATGAGGTTTATTAGTCCAATTTATGAGCAAATTTTCAGAAACACATAAACTAGGGATTGTTTGTACTGTACTGCACAAGGACAATTTTTAAGTGATATGATTTTTTTTTATCTCTCATGTCTAGTGTAAACAAAAAGTTATATCTTATCATTATTTGGGAATTTTCAATCATTTTTCAATGATGCTGGTAAGTTGTCTCAATGCCGCAATTGTTGGATCCCCCAAAATATATACAGCTGACAAGCATGTACAGTATTGAGTACTTAATCTAATTTAAAAATAGATCCAGATTTTCTAGTTTTTCCAAGGATAAAGATGGACACAATTATCACAGATGAGTAGTGACTGACTGCTCAGTTTTTGTGTCAATTAATTGATTTTCAGTTCCATTTGTTGTTACACTAGATGACTTACTCACACATGGAGACGGAGATCGACTGATGGATGGGTAAGTGTCCAGGGGTGTGAGGCCCTCTGACTGTGTGCCCTTCTGGATGCCATGAATCTTGTTGAGAGTTGCATGAATTCGGAAGTGTAGCCGAGATTCCAAAGAGTAACTCTTGTAGTTATTTCTGAAGAAAATAAAAAGTTACTAAGTGCTTGCCCAGTTCAGGACTTACCAATAGTGCATAACAGAGACATGACTGACTGCTCAGTGGCAAAAGATAATTAAATAAAAAAGAAAAGAACAGTACCTCTTGTATGTATATTATGTATGTTGTATGTATACCATGTATGTACTCTACATATACACATTATTTCTCTAGTCAGTTGCGTGTGGCAATGCCCCTGTTTCATGTCACCACACGCTTAGATAAATGTGCCTGGTGACATCTGGAAGCTGCTAATGTACCACTTACCACATGTCGCCTGAGAGGTCAGAGTGAGGTCAGTTGACCCTATAGGAGTGTAAGGACTACCTGCGCTTGTGAGCGCACTACTGTATATTTCCGTTAATAAGAACCTACAGAACTCTACAGGTGTTTATGTTCGCTCCTGTAGTTAGAACTAAGTACCCCGAACATCCCCATGGCGCAGTGAGTATCAAGTGATCGATTAAGTGGAAATAAGTGCGTTCGTGTAAAATCAAGACCGGTAGATCTCCTCCATCAACTCCGTCATCCGTGCCATTGTCTCCCACAAAAATTCGTTTGAATGACCAACGAGTTTTGAGCAGTGTGCAGTGACCGCAATTTCCTGTGAAGTGTCTTTAAGTGCCCCTCGTGTGTGTGTAGTGTTAAAGTGTGTGTCCTTGTTTTAAAGAATTCCCTAAGGTGGAAGGCTGATATAGGACATTTGTGAGGAGTGGTGCATCAGCGCGACCGTCCCCGGCTGCCTGGAGGGTAACTACCCCCACTGCTCACCTCCCACCTCCTCCCTCCGCGCTACCCCGCCTACACACACCAACTCACGCACAGACACACCGACCGCGGTCATTTCTCCATTTATATTTTATATATATATATATGTTACTTATCTGTGTATTCAATTAATTCTGTTGTCTCAGATCTGGGTGATACAACGGGCTGACCGATCAACACTGATTTGAGATACAATATACAGATAAAGTAATTATGCCCCGGGCCTCACGCAGGGGTGTCCCTAGCGCCCTGATGAATCTGACGGATGACAGCTCTACAGAGATGGATGACCAGTCAGAGCGCGACGCCCCACCCTCTTCCAACACATTTCCCAGCCACACCCCTCGACCCTCAGCCTCGTCCTCAGAGATAATTGCTCTGATGAAGCTTGTGAGGGAGGAGAGGCGCAAAGACGAAGCGAAAAGATGTGCTGAGGACCACCAACAGAGATTGGAAGATAACGAACGGTTTGCAGCTTTGATATCTAGCCTCACTGCTAACCAAGCCCTTGGCCCTTCCACTACTCCGGTACTGACTGGCTCAGATACCTCGTCAACGCCCTCTACCAAAGTGGTTGTCCAACCCCCACCCACCTTGAAGCCTGATGAGACTTTCCAAACTTTTCTTGAGTGGCGGCGACGGTGGACTGAGTATGCTACAATGGTGGATCTCCAGAGCTTGCCACAGCCTAAACAGCTCATTCAGCTACGTGTGTACCTGTCTCTGGGAACGCAGCATGTGTTGAAACATACGTTGCAAGTGCCCCCGACGTCTTTGTTGTCTGTATAGGAGGTACTGGATGTTCTAGAACAGCACATCAAAGGTCAGCGGAATGAAGCTCTCTGCAGGAGGGAAGTGTTTAGCTGTAGACAGATAGAGGGCGAGACTTTTGACGATTTCTATGTACGACTCAAGTGAGCCTCGGAAGAGATAGACATATGTCCCGGTAATCACCAGCAGTGCGAGGAGACCCAGTTGAAGCAGGTGATCCTGATGGGTATTAAGGACGAGGAACTTGTCCAACGCCTCACCTCCCTCGACTCTTCCTCCTCTCTTTAGGATGTATTGACAGTATGTCGCTCCTATGAGGCTGCCAGGTGTGCTACCTCTGCCATCCGAGCTCCCCCTACAGCTGTACGGGCTATGTCCCAAAACAAGAAAGACAAGAAGTCTACCCCAACGCCTACGCCCACCACGCCCACACCCGGCTCCCTTTGCAACAGCTGTGGTAGGCAGCACGGAACACAGGTGTGTCCAGCTGCAGAGTCTACCTGCGACAGTTGTGACCGCAAGGGTCACTGGTCACTTACAGTACGGTGCCTAGCCAAACACGTCCAGTGCAATGTGTGTGGGCGTCTGAGCCACTACGACAAGTGTTGCCCGACCACCAAACCTAAGGAACAGCATCGGCGGAAGCAGCAGCACCCTTCCACCAGTGAGGGCCGCCCACAGTCGCCAAATCAGAGGCACGACGACCCCGGACAAAGCCCGACCCATATTAGGAGGGTGTACTCCTCGCGTCCCAGGACCAAAGTCCCCCAGCACATCAGCGTCATCGTGACCTACGGCAGTGTGTCATCCTGTCTCGAGATGCTGCCCGACACCGGCGCTGAGGCTACGGTCATCGGTCCCCAGCATTTGCAATGCTTGGGGCTCTCTCCAAGTGATCTAGGACCGCCTCCCAAGGACCTCCGCATCACGGCAGACGGTTCACAGATGGCCCCAGCCCTAGGTTCATTCTATGCACATGTCACCTTTGGCAACAGGTCGTGTCAAGCCTGGATTGACGTGCATAATGGTGTCCCGACTCCTTTGCTGTCCTACAGACATTGCCAAGAGTTGGCCATCATCTCCCAGGACTTCCCAACAACGATTCTCGAGGTAAAATACGCCAACAGGGTGCACGAAGGGAGCAGCAACTACCCTGCTGCCGCCCTACCTCTGGCCAGTGACACCTCTCCTTCGGTAGTTGTCCCTGCTGCTTCACGTCCCCACGCCTTGGCTCGCCTCCACGGCAGCCACCGTGGAGACGAGGCCACCAAACGGCGTGCAATACAGACTGTGTTCCGGCCTGGCATCGACCCCGACATCTCCAATGGTGTCCAGGCGTGCAAGTCCCGCCAAGTACTACAACCCAGCCAGCAGCAGGAACCCTTCATGAGTGACGACAACCCCACCCGCCCCTTTGAGTCTGTGTCGGCCGACTTTTTCTGTGTGTCAGGAGAGTCCTTCCTGGTTATCGTCGACCGTCTCTCAGGTTGGCCGGTTGTCATCAAGTGTGGTAATGATACGACATCTGCCGCCACCATCAGCAAGTTCCGCCACTACTTCCGTTACATGGGCGTTCCTGCGTGCCTGCGAACCAACGGAGGGCCCCAGTTCACAAGCCAGGACTTTGCTGCGTTCCTCGACCGATGGGGAGTCCGGCATGTGTTGTCACCGCCTCATTACCGGCAGTCCAACGGCCACGCTGAGGCTGCTATCAAATCCCTGAAGCACCTCATCCTCAAAGTGGCCCCTTCTGGGAATATTGACTGCGAGGCCTTCGACCAGGGTCTCCTTGAGCTCCGCAACACACCCAATTACACCGGACGCTCCCCTGCTCAGGTCTTGTATGGACGCCCCTTCCGTTCTTGTGTCCCTGCTCACCCTCAATCCTTCTCCAAGGAGTGGCAGACCAAGACAGAGGATTTTGATCGCCGAGCCGCCGAACGTATTCAAGACGTCGTCGCCCGCCACAACGACCACGCCTGTCCTCTCCCCAGGTTGAGTGTCGGCACCCAAGTCTGTGTCCAGGACCCGACCTCCCTACGTTGGGACAAAGTGGGCGTAGTCACGGGTCTCGGCAGGTGTAATAGGCCCCTGTCTCATCAACAGAACGTATTATATAAATGGGTCAATACATCTGATATTATATTCAGATTCACCACCCTGTAACTTTCCACTGTCTATGAGTAAGACATGATATGGACACATGAGCAGGCAAGTCACCCAAGAGGGCGAGACCCATAGCTCAGTATTTCTGTAAGCACGCACTGCGATGCCCTTAAGTTTCAGTAGCTCACCTCAACTCATATCATAAGGACGTGACCTAACGTTTATTATACATAAACGCCGTCCCCTTCTCATTCACTCCTAGACAGTGAGACATACGGTTGATGTACACTCAGGAATTATATATACAACCTTTTATAATAAAACAAAGGAACTACCGTTTGGGTTTCGTTACTTAAAACCCAAATATAAATATATGTGAATGGACTGGTTAATTGGACAAGCAGCCGATTCATATAGGTTGCAAGCGGTGTGTACGGATTCTTCAAACTGGTAGTCGTATCATCCATCTGTGTTTTGTGAAAAACAAGAAAACACACAGCAGTGACACGTTACATAATCCGAGTGTTTAAAACTATATCCCGTATTGAGACGATATTTAGTGAGCGCTCCTTATCTCTGTCACATACAAATACGTGCAGAATTCGTAATATACATACAGTCGGCCCTTCACATACGCGGGTTTAGCATTCACGGATTCGCAAATACGCGGATTGCCCCGCCGGAGGAATATTCTGTACATTGAAGTAATTGAAGTACATTCAAATCGCGCGCCATTCAACTCGCGCGCGGCACCGAACACAGGACACCGCCCGCTCCCGCAACCTCACACACACACACGCATAGCTCTCCCTCACTCAGTCAAGTCTCGCTGTAACCACGCTTGTGTTGACATCAGCATTGTAGTTGCAAAAATATTACATTTCCATGAATGTATTATATCAAACACAGTATGAATAGAATATCACTAATATAAGAGTATTTTAACCGAAAACTACTAAAAAAACGAGTAACATATCTTGAACATCGGAAGGCTAGGTAAAGTCTTTTGTTTTCATGTGGTTTATCCTAATTTACATTGAAATGCATTACGTTCCAGCAAAACTACTACACCTAGACCCCGACTTACGGCGGGGTTAGGGACCCAAATCCAGGTCGTAAGTCCGACATGGTCGTAAGTCCGACATAGATAAAAAAAAAAAAAAAAAATTTAATAAAAAATCTACAATGAAATACAGTACAGTAAAAGTAATGCATAATGATGAATGGATACAGTACAGTGAAAGTAATAAATAATAAGGAATGGATACAGTGTGACTGACAGGGCTGTGGAGTCAGAGTCGGAGTCGGAGTCGAGGAGTCGGAGGAAATTTCGG